AGGAATGCCAATATTTGTTTTAAGAGAGAGAAGGAAAGAAAGCCATTGTATGCATTCTCTATTTTTTTTTTAATTCAGCTTTACATATGGTTTGACTTCAGAGACATGGTTTCAATTCTTTCATATGTCTCCCTGCCTAATTACAAGGTGTCATTAAAAAGTTCATGGAAAATGAAATGCAATGAGAAAATTGTGATTGGTTTTCAGAATATTTTGCACCAAAATGAACTCCAGCCTTAGTCATATTTTTCATAAACTTTTAAAGTCCCTTTGTATTCTTGTGTGATATTTCCTGTAAAGTTTTTCAGGCTGTGATAAGAAGCAAAGGTGAGATTTCTAACGATAACATAAATACTTTTTTGGGGGGTGAAAATATGGTATGACCTACAAAGTCAGAAGGTACCTGAGAAAAGGAGGGAAGAAAAGGGCAACATATCTTCCTTTGCCACTTGCTCAGTAAATGATTAGGCAACATTCATGTTTGTGATGCAGGAACTATGTATAGCATAGCAGGAGTTCAAATGACTGACTAAAATCTCTCTCCAGATACTTTCTTAGGGATATAGTTTAGGACCAAGAAAGTATAATTGAAGTAATCTGAGACCAGAAGTGATTATGATTTAGATATCTGAGAAATTATTTTACTTCTGTTTCATAATATCACGAGCAGTATAGAGAGAATATGATATAGTAAAATCCTTGAACCCTACAAATACAGCTGACAGAGTTTAAGGTAAATAAAAGCAAGCCCTTGGGACCAGCAGATAGCATAATGGTTATGCTGGACTCCCATGTAGTCTACTGTGCTTTGAGTCCCTGACCCAGTGGCTATACTTCACACCAGGTACATGTGTATGCATGCCCAAAATCTTGAGAGGAGAATGGAGAAGGGATTGTGGCATGGCCATTCCCCCTGGAGCGTGATTTCTGACTTTCTGTCTCTCTGTCTTTTTAGCACACCTTATAGCAAAAATCTCTCTAAAAATAAAAAATCAATATGAGGAAACCAGTTATTTCGTAGGTAGTATTTTGATACCTAGCATCTTCAGATTATACAACTTGTATATTTCTGGAAAATAAAAAATCAGTTCAGATGTATTAATGCTACTGACCCATAATGTGTAACTAAGTTAAACTAGGATGTATGGGATTAATTACAAATATCTAAGCTATTAGGAGTAAAACACAATTTACAGTTTTCTGTAAGAATTCAGCTACAGTAAAATAACCTTCACAATTAGTGTGTATAAATCGAAAATGTAAGTTTGAGTGAAAATGTAGAGATAAAAATGGTGAATGATTTTTTTTCTCTCTTCAATGTCCATCTTTTTCTCATTCTTTGTCTTGCTTATGAAAGCAAAACAGACTTCCAAGGCCACTAACAGAATAACAAAATACTCAGATCTGGTACTGAATCATGGCTTTGGATGTATAATTTCTTGAACAAGTTATTTTAATTTGCTAATCCTCAGTTTCCTTCCAGGAACCATGTACATGTAGGAACTCAAACAGGAGGCAGAAATAGGTCTTTGTCTCATAAGCTGTGAGAACTGTTTACAGTTATGCATATCAAGTACCTTTCTCACTGCCTCTCATATAATTAACACTTGATAAGTAGTAATTATTATTATTATTATTTTTTGGAGAGGTTTTTGCTATAGGGCGCCTGCGCTTGCCAGACAGACAGAGACAGAGAGAAAGAAAGCGAGAAATCACCCCCCAGGGGGGATGGCCATGCCGCAATCCCTTCTCCATTACGCTAACTGCTGGTCCCAGTAGTAATTATTGACTGAACTTGACAAAGATTAGTGGGATAACAAATGAAATAATATCAGAGTTACCCTTTGAAATATAACAAGGTTAGCCTATATAATGAGACTAGTTAATAAGGAAAGATGGAAAATGAATAGAGATTTTTAGTGCTTAAAGTTGTATTTGATTATGTTCGATAATTTGATGAATATAGTCTTATTATTTATTTATTTATTGAGAGATTTTTGCTATAGGACACATGCCCTCGCTGAAGAGACAGAGCGAGAAAGAGAAACAGAAATTGCGAAATCACTCCCAGGGAGAATGGCCATACCACAATCCCTTCTTTTCCATTCTCCACTTGGAGTTTTGGCCATGCGCTGACCTGAGTTTTAAGTCGTTGAGTTCAGGGACTCGAATTGTGGTTGACTCTGTGGGAGTCCAGTGACCTAACTACTATGCCATCTGCTGTTCCCAAGTGTAGTTTTATTTTTAATTAGTGCAGTTAAGTCAAAATGGAAGTTCCTCTATAATGATTTTTTTTCTCTTTAAACAGATTCAAGATTTTTGGAAAGTTACCTCTCGTTTGTTTACGAATCTCAGATAAAAAACTGCAAGGGATTATGGAATTGGTTGAAAGCATTCCAAAACCTGAATTTGGAGCTGAAGTATCTGCCCCTGCTAAGTCCTTTCAGGTAATGTTATTTTCAGAATTGATGAAAGCCTGAATTACAAAAGAAAATCCACAAATAGTACTTGAAATACCACAGGAATTTCAGATGAAACAATTTACAATTTAGTTTGAATAGATTTTTTTTTCACATGAAAATTTTTTAGTTTGTTAATACTCTCATGAAAAATCCTCACAATCACCGCAGATAGTCATTGCAGAATCTTTCCTCCTTCGACTTTTTGCCAGCACCAACATTGGCCTTTGCAGTCCCCCTGACTTTCTTCATTCTGTTCTTGCGTTCCTTTCACTATTTTCTTGACGTATTTTTCTTCTCATAAAGGCCATGTCTTGCAAGTCTATGTTTGGGTTCATTTTTCTTCACACAATCCAGAGAATCGTAAATCATGCCAAAGCCAGTTGTCTTGCCACCACCAAAATGGGTTCTGAACCCAAACACAAAGTTGACATCTGGTTGGTCTTGCACATCTTCGCTAGTTTTTCCCGAATTTCTGTCTTAGGTACTGTTGCCTTCCACAGGTGAAGGACATCAGTGACCATTTGTTTCCTCTGAAGTAGTCGGTTGGTCATGAATTTCCTGGTTCGGATAGTCACTGTGTCATTCATGATGGCGGGATATGCTCAGGCAGCCAGGGAGGAAAAGACTAGTTTGAATAGATCTTTTTAAAATTATATTGTAAAAGAGGAATGAATGAAATGGTAAAAACTGTAAATAATTTAAAAATGTGGGACCAGCAGGTAGCGTGGTAGTTAAGGTGCTGGATTCCCCTATGACTGACCATGGTTCGAGTCCTGGACCTGGCAGCTTGAAAATCACGTCAGGCACATGTGCATGTGTGCCCAACATCCTGAGAGGAAAATAGAGAAGGGATTGCAGCATGGCCATCCCCCCTTGAGGGTGAGCTCTCATCTTTCCCTTCCTGCCTCCATCTATCTTTCTCCAATGAGCGTATAGCCCTTTGACAAAAACCTAAAAATGTTAAATTTACTTTTACTTACTTCTGCAGCTTCTAGTCCCACTCCCCAGCAGTAACACCGTTAATGGCTACATCTATAGTTTTTCAGAAAATATTTGTGGCATATACAATACATATGCATGTATATAATATATTTTTTTATATTCTTTTTCTTTTTTGGAGAGGTTTTTGCTATAGGGTGTGTGCGCTTGCCATAAAGACAGAGAGAGACAGAAAGAGAGAAATCACCCCCCAGGAGGTGTGGCCATGCTGCAATCCCTTCTCCTCCATTCCCCTCTTGGGATCTTGGGCACACACGCATACATGCCCAGTGTGAGTTTAAGCCACCAGATCCAGGACTTGAACCACGGTCGACTACATGGGAGTCTAGTGACATATAGGGACCTATATTTTTATATTCTTAAAATTTATATGAAGGAGATCATTCTAATTATTCTGCATCAGTATTCTTTTTACTATTTTTATCACATATGTTTTACTTCAGAGATATTTTCATATTAACCCATACAAATCTACTCTATTTTTTTCCCATGGTGATAGTGTGTTGAATTATGTAGGTACACCATATTTTGCATAGTATATCTCCTTTTTGTAACTTTTGTATTATTTTAAATGTTTACAGTTGTGAAAAATACTACCTTCAACTTCCTTGAACATATATGCGGTAATACTTTCTTTTTTTTTTTTTTTTTAAGAGAGATGTTTTGGTTTGGGGCGTGTATGCTCACTGGAGAAATAGAGAGTGAGTGAGAAATCGCCCCCCAGTGGGGATAGCCATGACACTATCCCTTCTCCTTCACTCCTCTAGAAATCTTGGGCACGCATTTGACTTTTTGTCTCACAATTTATCTGTTACTGCATCTTTTTGTGTTTTTTTATAGTTAACTGTTTTGATTTCTCTATATTTTTCTTTGTAGATAGTTTTGAATATTTTCTTCAGTTACTGTGTGAGTTATATTTAACATCTAAATTTATAACACTGTTTTGAATAGGTACCAAATTAACTTAAGTAGCATAAATTCTTTTTTCTTTACTGGAAGACCATGACTTCATATGACTTTGAGTTTCTATCAAGTGTCTTAAGTGTCTTTACTTCAATCTGAGGGACACTCACCATTTGTTGTTGGAAAGGTTTAGAGGTAATGAAATCCCTCAGCTTTTGTTTTTCTATAAATTTCTTAATTTATCCCTCATTTTTGCAGGCCAATTTTGAGAGAGAGAATTTTTAAGAAAATTATTTTTCATTATTATTATTATTATTTTATTTTGCTACAGGGCACATGCACTCCCCAGAGAGAGACAAAGGGGTCATGGGAAAGGTGAGAAAATAAGCTGCCAGGTCTGGGACCATACTGGGGTTGGCCATGTGGGAATCCAGCTCCCCCACCACCATGCCACCTGCTGGCTCCCAGAAGACATAGAATTCTTGGTTGACAGTTTTTTCTTCTTGGAATCTTATAATGATCCAAGTGATGGTATTTCATAGGTTATATTCACTTTTCTTAACTTTGTTTTCCTTTCTTTTTTGATAACTTGATCAAATTGATCTTTATATATTTTTTTTACATATTTTTTTCTTCTGCCTTCTCAAATTTGCTATTTAAATTCTCTAATGAATTTTTCTTTCAGATGTTGTATTATTTAAGTCTAAGATATTTGTTTCGTTCCTTTTTATAATTTGTCTCCTTAATGATATTTTTGTATTTTCTGTGCCATCTTCTTTAGTTTTTTGTTCATGATTTATTTTTTGTTCATGATTTGTTTTAGCTCTGTACTTACATAAGAGCTTAATTTTTTTTTTTTGCAGGAAGTACAGTGGCTGTTGTGCATGAGCTATCTCTGCTATTTTCTTCTGTGAATGGATCATACTTCCCTGTTGCTTGAATGCATTATCTTTATATTATAACCATTGAAAGGGAGTATAAGCATTTAAGATTACAAACCAGTGTGTTCACTAACGTAGATGCAACTGTCCTTAGCAGCAAATATCATAACCTTATATTGTAAAATTTAAAGAGCATAATGCACAATGACCAAATAGTTTTACCACAGAAGGGCAAAGATAAGTCATCAGTCAATATTATAACCACAATAGTGGAGCAAAGGAGAAAAAAATATTTGATCGCCTTAATGGAATTGAAAAAAAACGCATTGATAAAAATCTTTTTTTTTTTTTTTGGAGAGGTTTTTTCTATAGGGTGCATGCGCTCGCTAGACAGAGAGGACAGAGAGACTGAAAACGAGAAATCACCCCCCAGGGGGATGGCCACGCCGCAGTCCCTTCTCCATTCTCCTCTTGGGATCTTGGGCATGCATGCACACGTGCCCGGCGTGAGTGAGTTTAAGCCACCAGGGCTGGGACTCGAACCATGGTCGACTACATGGGAGACCAGCGACATAGCCATTACGCCAACTGCTGGTCCGAAAGTCAGGATTTTTTTATGTCCTTCTTTAAGGAGGAAGGGCACACAGGAAGGTGAATGAGTCTTTCCTGATTCTTTCTGCTGTTTTCTCCTCTTCTAAGGTACTGTGTTTTGGTACAGGTTAGCCTGAAGCCAGTCAGTATTAAAGCTTGTCATATGGTTACTTTATTTATGAAGGTGTGAATGAATAAGAAATAGCAGTGTGTTTATACAGTGAAATGAACTCAGGAAAAAAAAAAAAACTGAGACACAACTATGATGTATAGTGATTGGGAAAAACATTCCTCAAAAAAACTCCAAAAATATTTTTTCTTTAATGATTATTTATTTCATATTATTATTATTGTTGTTCTTATTATTAAAATTGCTATAGGGCTCAGAGCCAGAGAGAGAGAGAGAGAAAGTGAGAAAGCAAGCTGCCAGGTCTGGGACTCAGACTGCAGATAGCCATGTGCCTTAACCACCACACTACCTACTGACCCAAACTCCAGGATATTTTAGAGAATCGAATGTGGAGGCAGTTGCCACAGGTTAACAAACCCTGTATTCACAAACCTATCAAATATTAGGTCATCGGAAAGGTCATGCCGTATTTTTCTATGTTTTTCCATGCAAAAATGTGTCATGACTTTCCCAACAACCCAATGCTTTTTATTAGAAGAAAATAATAGGCCAGTTTTTTATTTATTTATTTTTTCCCTGTGAGTGTAGATGAAGAAATTTCAAAACCTTACATGTTAAAACTAACATCACAGTTGGGGGATCACTGATGACTGCAAGGAGCTGGAAAGAGGCTCGAGTTGCTTGTGATGGGTCTGAGTAGTAGGTGGGTAGGGATGTTTACTTTTTGAAAATTTATTGAAGTATATATTTGTAGTTGATATACTCCTGTGTAGTAGGTGATATTTAATAAAAGTCACCTGTGACAGGACCAGCAGGTGGTGTGGTTAAGGTGCTGTATCTCACATCGTGGATTCTGTGATTTGAGTCTCAGACCCAGCAGCTTGGAACTCACCCTGGGCACATGTGAGTGTATGCCCAAAATCTAGGGAAGAGAATGGAGGAGAATGGACTGTGGCGTGGCCATCCCCCTTGAGGGTGATTTCTCACTTTTCTTGCTCTGTGGTAAAAAACCAACCAACCAACCAACCAACCTTACGGCACTATGATATGTTGTGAAATTCCAGTTAAAACTTAGGTGAAATTGCCAGTGAATTTGGGAAAATTTCCAATCTTGAAAGCCGTTAGCATTTTTGAGAATATGGAGTAATATGGATGGATGCTCATCTACGGGGATTATTGTGAGATGTTGTAACTACTTTTGAGAACAATTTGATGATGTTAATATATATAATTCTAGGGAACCAGCAGGTGGTGTGGTGGTTAAGGCACTGGACACTCCCACATGGCCTACCACGGTTCAAGTCTTGAACCTGGTGGCTTGCTTTCTCACTTTCCTTCTCTGTCTCTCTCTGTATTTCTCCCTGGTCAAATTAAAAAATAAATGAATGGCTAAATAAATTAATTAATTAAAAAAGATATATAATTCTACTCTTGGAAAAATCATGCACATGAGCACCTGGAGGCATGGTCAAAGATGTTATAGTGGTATTAATTTTTTTTTTCTCTTTTGGAGAGGTTTTCGCTATAGGGCGTGTGTGCCCACCAGACAGACAGACAGAGGCAGAGAGACAGAAAGCGAGAAATCACCCCCCAGGGGGGAGGGTCATGCCGCAATCCCTTCTCCTGCCGCAATCTCTTCTCCATTCTCCTCTCGGGATCTTGGGCACGCACGCACATGCGCCCGGCATGAGTTTCAAGCCACTGGGTCCGGGACGCGAACCGGGGTCGACTACATGGGAGTCCAGTGACATAGCCATTACGCTAACTGCTGGTTCCCAAAGATGTTATAGTGGTATTATGAGCAAGAGCAAAAATCCATAAACAATAAAATTTATTCACCAGCAGTGCAGCAGACAGATAAGTAGTGGTTTATGTATCAGGGCAATTCAATGCAGTTATGAAAATCAGCATGCTACCAAAATGGTTAAAATTGAAAGATCGTTTTATAAAAGAAAAACACAGCCTATAAAAAGATCATTTTTCAGAAATGATCAGAAACAGCAGAGGTAAAAATACATTGTTGAGGGAATCATTGGGGGCCTGTATGGTGGCACAGCAGTAAATGGGATGTAATATGAGGCTGATTCACGTGGGGCGGTTCTGGGTCTGTAGCTGAAGACCTCCCTGAATGTTTGGCGCACGCCTGTGCTTGCGATCTGGGCCGGCTAAGCTGGGGTGGATTGAGGTGTGAAGATCCTCTTGGGGATCTGTCTGTCTCTGTTCGCCTTTCTCACTCTTGGAAGAAAGAAATGTATACACTTTAAACATAAAGATAAAAAGGTGTCATTCATAGGAGTCCAAAGACAAGCAACTAGATAAAGTAAAGTCATGACCAGCGG